ATGGGTATATATGTGACTTTGGTATGCAATCTTTAATTGTTGCAAATGTAGCATCAGTAATTCTGTTTTGTCTTTATCACTTTATCAATATATGATGTATATACAGTGTGTCGTCCAATATGTGTTGCACGTCATCCAAATATAAGATGTCTGTCGTCTAATGTATGTTGCCTGTTTTTCAATATATGATGTATGTCGTTCAATATATGATGCCTATTGTCCAATATATGTTACCTGTCGTTCAATATGTGTTGTCTGTCGTCCAATATATGTTATCGTCCAAAATATGATGTGTATTGTTCAATATGTAATGCATGTCGTTAAAAATATTATATCTGTCGTCTAATATACGTTGCATATGTAGTCCAAAATATGATGCCTGTCGCCCAAAGTATGTTGCATGTCGTCCAATACATGTATATGAAACATGTCGTCTAATATGTGTTGTCTAGCCTCCAATATATGATGTCTATCGTCCAATATATGATGTCTGTCGTCCAATATATGATGTCTATCGTCCAATATATGATGTCTATCGTCCAATATATGATGTCTATCGTCCAATATATGATGTCTATCGTCCAATATATGATGTCTATCGTCCAATATATGATGTCTATCGTTCAATATATGATGTCTATCGTCCAATATATGATGTCTATCGTCCAATATATGATGTCTATCGTCCAATATATGTCTATCGTCCAATATATGATGTCTATCGTCCAATATATGATGTCTATCGTCCAATATATGATGACTGTCGCCCAGTGTATGTTGCCTAGGCTTGTCGCAATATATGATGTCTATCGTCCAGATTTTGAAATGTTCTAGTTGTATACTATACTTGCCCTGACTGCACATGGTGCAGTATTGAGTAATTAATACACTGTAGTAGACATACATCACTAAACATGACATGAGAGAGACCGTGGAAAAATTGTGCTTGTATATATCTGTCAATATGGCTTTATTTCATACCAGTAGTCATACCTAAAAATATACAAATCAACAAACTCGGAAACACAAATATAAGTATATGTCAATATACCGTTTTAAATATGGCGATTTTCTATATTAGGTAACGATTACGATTTGATTAACATAAGAGCCGAGTTTTTTTATTTTTTTTTAAATTATATATTTAATTATTTTTCATATATTTAAGTTTTGGTATTCGCAAAAACCCTTGGCTATAGTTGAAATAAGATACGTATTAAAGCAACAACAAAATATTGTAAAAAATAAAATATATAAAATTTGAAAAAAATACACGCCGTACAATACATCAGTTTGGGTTGCCGTTCATCAACATAGAAATAGAAGTGCAATATTTAGCATAGGCACTTCACGGATTACGTTGCGCGTGAGATTCATATTCTTGTTTATTTGTGTGGGGGAATAATATTATAGCCTTATGTGTAACACATGATTGAATTTTAGACTCTGGTTCCGCTATCAGAAAATACCAACTCTTCAGATAACATAATATGTTCATCTAAACTGCACATTTGGTCATCAATATCTTGTTCATATCTACCATCACGTGATCGACTATCTCTACGTGAACCCCCAGACAGTTGGTTGATTTGTACTACCCTTTCGATAGGAGACTTCCTCTCAATCAAATCTGCAGCACGTACACGTTGGTTTTCATCAAGAATCGCATTTAATTCACAGTCTACGATTATCGTATCATCTAACCCACCATACGAATGCCCACTACCTTGGAGGCGTTGGATGTCATCATGTTTTCCCAGCACGTAGTGCTTTTCATTTTTCTCGGCAGAAACACATTTGTCCTCGTTGTTGCTTTTTCTTTGGTCATCGTGGTCCAAGCTCTCGGGGTGTGCGTCCATGCCACATTCGTGTGACGACCTCACATCACCACGCTCGGCTAAATTATATCCCAAAAGTGTTTCTTTCTCATTGGATTGTTTCGTATGCCGACTATAAGAAATTACTAGTATTGCAACGACAACAGTACTAATTGCAATTACCACAACCACTACAACAGTTATAGTAGTTTGAGCCGATGTGATGTGGACTCCACTCTCCAAGTTTCCGGTTTGCATCATGATGGCATTAATTTGAGTCGGCGTTCCAATATGTGATCCATTATTACTTTCAATGGGATCGCGGTCACTTTGTTCAACCTCTGTGCTAGTCATAAATATAGTACTGCGAAGCGGAAATTTCTGTTTTAAAAAATATTTTTTCCTGTCGTCCACAGCACCTGTTAATTCACCATCTCCCGAATTCTCTGAAAAAAAAAATAAAAACAGAAATACGACATTTCACATTATTCCGGAGTTTTTTATTATTATTAACAAACGACTCATCACTAATTAAAACACGATGTGAGTGGAGTTAGCTGGTGTGTACCTCTTA